ATATTTACCAAAATTACACAAAAATATCTTGGAATACTAAACAGTAAATTTATTCAATAAAATCACCATTTAACTCTTCTGGACAGTCACAATGTTTTTAAGTTGGTGAATGCTGCCAAAATATATATATATATATATATATATATATATATATTATAAATTAATTGATTTAAAATATGGTTTTTTTTTAAGCTACACAGTTCCAACCATGTTTCAAAAAAGAAGCTAAAAACCCCGAATTTAATTTTGCAATTAAATTAAAAGCATTAGTTCCATTTCATCTTCGTTTAATCTTTTTATTTATATACATATATATATATATATATATATATATATATATATATATATATATATATATGAAGATGGAACAAAGCTTGGTACTTTAATTCAATTTAATTCAAGTTTCGGCTCTTGTTTCAAAACATGAGAACTCTTATGTCGCGATGGAATCATATTTTTAAATAAATAATTATATATATATATATATATATATATATAAGGCCTTCAGAAATGACTATTAACCTCCACTGCCTGAAGAAACCTTACTGGTAGAAACCATGGTAGCATGAGTGGTTAATATTCCTTGGCTTTGATATATATATATATATATATATATCGATAAAAAGACAGGAGGAAAAACTATTCTTAGCCCATGCATTTCACCTTCTGAAGGACTTTAATAATCAAGCCAAATGTAGGCTTTATTTTGTTGCATATGATGTTTATATATGATCAGTGCCAGTTTTCTCATTGTTGTTACAGTATCAACATGGCCACTCCACTAACAGTGTGCACTAAGGAGGAACAAAGAGTAGTGATCCTATTTCTCTGGTCAGAAGCTGTGGCAGGAGCTGAAATTCATTGGAGGCTCTAAACACAATATGGTGACGGTATACTACTGTGTAGAGGTGTGTTTGAGTGGATTGAGAAATATTAATGTCCATATAGTACAGGTTTCCCCAACCTGGACAATATTGTCCCCCAGTAGGCAATGTGAAGAGCTGGGTGAGCGGCTGGAAATTTTGTTGGATGTTGAGTATTAAAAAGGTATTTCAACATATGATACCTGAAAAAAAATATTCAAAGGAAATATGCAAATAACCTGTATTAAAAAAAAACAGGAGGCTCAATGGAAATAAATAGGTCACATTCCAAGATAAGATATAAATATCCACACACCCTGCAAACAACAAATATTTTAGTATTTAAGGCTTATTAACATTCAAATATTTCTTCAGACAAGTTTTTCAGATATAAATCAGATAAGGGAAAACTAAGAAGAACAAAAAGATATTTGCTGAAATTTTTTATTAGTTGTTCGTCGTGTATATTCTTTTTAATTCTATAATTATGAACAAAAATCATTTAATTTTTTTGTCAACACTTGCAAAACTAATTCCAGCCATAAAACTAAACATAAACATAAAACTAAATTATATATCTATAGTTTTCAATAGTCAAGTTTGCTTTGGTTTGTTCTTTAATATGGCAGTAGTAGTAGTAATAGCATCCACTGCATATGTCAGTGTTATTTATTACCTCCCTTTGGTATTTTCTTTTACTACATCAAAGTCATTTTATGAACCAATAACAAACTTTTACCAAACAATTTTGGTCTGCTTTTGAATATTTACTATACAGGTGGGTGGTGGAAAATTTTTCCATGTGAAAATCTGTAATGATGCAAACATCTTAGGAACTGCTAACCAATGCCTTTATCCACTGTCCAGTTACAGGACCTCAAGAGTGTGAGTTCAATACCCGGTTAAGGCAGTGGTGAACTTGGCGAGGGGAATTAACAGGAGATAACTGATAACTGACATCCATTAAACATGGTACATGGAACTACCCCAGTAAATGAAATAAAGGTTCAGTTCAACATTCCAACCACCTGAAGAAGTCTGGAGCGTACAATGGCTGAAACATTGTAATAAATATGGTGACAAACATGAGGACAATAGTCTGAATAATGTAAATAGTGAAAGAAAGCATTTTTTTAATAATAATAATAAAAATATAATAATAATGTTTTCTAGATGTGTTATTCAAATTCTGTTGTGTGTGTGTGTCTGTGTGTGTAAAATACTGTTAGGGTGGAGGTGTAGCTATGTACCTTGTCATTGTTTTAGTTCCACAAAAGAAGAAACGATGTTATAATGACTCAATCTTCACACCTAACCTCCAGCCCCAACCAAAAGCGCCCCATCACGCCCCCACCTCATCAAGTAAGGATCTGTTTATTTATATTTCAGTCAATAAGCATTTATTTAGGGGATAGGTAAATATCGATTGTTTATATTTGAGTCTATAATTGTTATATTAGTAGGTGGCCCCTTTTGAAATCTGGTGTCGTACACCTTTGCAGTAGGTGCAGTTGGCACATTCTAGGGAGGCTCTTTGTTCAAAGGGCGATTACCGAATTTGACTTTTACATTTTGGATTTTGTTGGCAATATATCTGTTCATGATTTTTATTTAGTTCTTTTAAGGAAAAAAAAAAATTTTTTTTTTAAATAATAATGATAATAAAGACTTATAATAATATTGTTGTCTAGCTGCATTATTCAGATTCTGTTATGTGTGTGTGTAGCTATGTGCCTTGTTTTAGTTCTACAAAAGAAACATTATAATGACTCAGTCTTCACACCTTACCTCTACCTCTTAACACTACCACCACTGCCATGTAAGGATCTATTTTCTTTTCTTCCCCTTTATCACTTGTCATCATTACAACTTCTGTCTTGTTCTGTCCCTTAACCAGATTTATTTTGTTGCTGACTGCCTCCATTACTGCTACTACTGCTGCTTGTAGCTTCAATTTGTGCAAAAGACTCCATTTTGCAATCATATTCTCATAGTGAGATATTCAATCCCACCCCCTCTGCTGATAGAAAGGAAAAAAATATTGCCAAACATAATATTGATATCAACAACATTTCCTTTGTGATTAAAAGCCGAACAACTGTAGTCACGATGAATATTCACTCACTTGACCTGAGATTTACTCTCAGTTCATTAAAATATTCCTTTTTTAAATTTTTGCACTGTATTTGATTTAAATAACTGCTTCAATGTACTTGATTTAAATAACTGCTTCAATGTACTTGATTTAAATAACTGCTTCAATGTACTTGATTTAAATAACTGCTTCAATGTACTTGATTTAAATAACTGCTTCAATGTACTTGATTTAAATAACTGCTTCAATGTACTTGATTTAAATTACCACTTCAAAATATTTGATTTAAATAACTGCTTCAATATACTTGATTTAAACAACTAGTTCAATGTACTTCATTTAAATAACAGCTTCAATGTACTTGATTTAAATAACCACTTAAATGTACTTGATAAAAAATAACTGCTTCAATGTACTTGATTTAAATTTTATAGGTTAGATTATTTGCTTTGAGAGCTCTTCCTTACTTTTTTGGAATGACTACTCAGCAAAATTTTTATACAATGGATGAAAAAAATTGCATACAAATTTTTAAGCTCCTTTGTTCAAGATCTTATCCAAATTCATAATCTGCGTAGTTTTCCTTCGATTATTAATCTGCAAGCGATCCGTAATCTTGGATAAGTGACTTAAGATTTCTAGATGCTTTTTTCAAGGAAAAGTCATGCGGTCATTCAAAATTCTATTCATTATTATTTTATGCACTAACTACAAATGATTTTGTTTGTTTGTTTTTAATCATTTCATCCCAAGCAAGGTAATAAAGCCACTAAGATAGAAGGGGGGGTACTGAGGCTCAAAGAATCATGATTAAAGAAAAAGTAAAAAAAAGTACAGAAACTACGAAGGCAGATGATAATGATTGACACTGCATTTACATTTTTGAAGATCAAAGTTGAATGGAAAGCTAGAAGCTGGAAGAGATTTCCACAAGTGAGAAGTGTGAGACAAGAAACTGTTAACATAGAACTTATGGTTACATCTAGCCATTTCAAGAGTATAATGATGAGAATGTGCTGCCAATCTAGTACTATGCTTAAAATAAAAAAATCTAGGAATCATAGAGGAAATCTCATCAGAATAATTACCATGAAAATATTTACAGAAAAGGCGCAAGGAAGTTATGTTATGGTCGTTGGAAAGCCAAGATACCAGGTCAGGATCATTTTTTTTTTTCAAGATTTATATATCCTGCTTTGTTTCAGTACTAATTTATTAAGAATGGAGGATAGACTGAAATAGCCTAGTTGTATATTAATCATCTTCGGGGATTTGTAGATCATGGCAATTTTAATATATCTCCGCTTGAGTGGGTTACTTTTTTTTTTGTTAAGCATTTCACCCCAAGCAAGGCGGGAAGCCACTAGCACGCAAGGGGTTACAGAGAGTTGGAGCGAGAGCAAATAGGAGTGATAGAGGAAAGGATGAAGAGAAGGATAGGGGATAAATCAAGGCATTTGGAGATGTTGATTGACATTACATTTGAATAGTTGGAGATTATAGCTATCAGGGAAACAGGAAAAGGAGAGGGAGTTCCACAGGCGAGAGGTGCGAGACATGAAGCTACTGGAGTAGAAGAGATGGTTACATTTAACAGTTTCAACAGTGAAAGGGTGTGAGTGAGATGCCAGCTTAGTACAATGCTTAAATTCATGAAGTTTGGGAACCAGTGAAAGCAGCTCCTTGGAGCAGTTACCATGAAAGTATTTGTAAAAAAGACAGAGGGAGGTGACAGCATGTCTGTGAGAGAGTGACTGCAGATGAGATGCCAGATCAGGACCAATTATGTTGCTTATCCGTCTCTGGATTTTATCAAGAACCTTGAGACAAATATAAGGGGCACCAGACCATATATGGCAGCAATACTCCATGCAAGGGCGAATGGTTGATTTGTAGATTTGAAGGATCAACTCTGGTGATAAAAATTTTTTATTAAAGTGGCATTTGCTGGATCAAAATTATAAGTATGAAGCTTTCAGTTTCTATTATGCGTGTTTTTAATTCTGAGTTTTATTTGTTTTTTTCTTTAAATCTTTGTGTGCTTACGGCCATATAATGTTGAAATTCCAGTTCCCATACAATCACCAAAGTTAAGCAACATCAAGTTTGGTCAGTATCTCAATGAGTGACCACTTAGGAATACCAGGTGCTGTAAGCTTGGATGTGTGGTCAGTGTAATGGATAATGGCTCAGAATTGGTAATCAGACAGCAGAGTTCCAATTCCAGTTGGGTTCGTTATATTCACTTACGTGCAAATAGTCTTAGGAAAGGTATGAATCTCCCTTTTCTCCCATCAGCTATGGATTAATTAGTAAAATTTGTATCACTAATACCATTATCTCCCAAAAAAAGAAAAATTCTTACATTCTAAAAATATTTTCTGGCTTTAAAAACCTGCAAAGGATTAATAAGCTGTAGGAAATGAATCAATCAATGTATTTATGGGGACATTGCTTATATTTTATCTGCTTCTGATGTAAAATGAACTCTGTTTTCCATTGATTCAATTTTTAATTGTTTCTGAAGTGTTTGTGATGATTCTGGGAAGAGGACAGTAAGTGTGATAAAGACACATTGGGATGGCCAAAGATGCCTTCCAAAAGCTAAGCAGAGTATTAAGAGACAGAAAACCTTTGTTAGAAACAGAGTACTGAAGTGTTACTTGATATCTGTCCTCCTATATGGCAGTGAATGCTGGACAATCTCCTCAATGATGAAGAAGAGACTTGAAGCAAGAGAAACAAAGAAAAGAGTACTGAACTGTTACGTGATATCTGTCCTCCTATATGGCAGTGAATGCTGGACAATCTCCTCAAAGATGAAGAAGAGACTTGAAGTGACGGAAATGTGGATCTACAGAAAGATGATGAGGATACCATGGACTGAATATGTGAGTAACCAATAGATTTTAGAGAAAATGAAAACAAAGAGGACATTTATATTTAACATCAGGAAGAGGCAGTTGAAATTTGTGGGGCACATAATGAAGAAGGTGGGCTTGGAAAATTTGATACTCACAGGACAGATTGAAAGAGGAACATAGGAAAACAGCGGCTTGATAGACTTGAGTAAATAAATGATAGAACAGGGTTTTGGGAGAAAGAGCAAAAAGACAAATTTTATTAAGAGCTACAAAGGACAGGAAGATATGGAGGGCCTTGATCACTTACATCACGAAGGGACATGGCACATAAAGAAGTTATAGAATTAGTAGGTGTTGAGCCTAGTTTTTGTACTGTTTGTACTTTTTTTTATTTTTATGGATTTTATATGCTTTTTCTTTTGGCATTGTATGAAATAACTAACAGAGTGGAAACAGTATTTTCTTCTATGGGGGAAAAAAGATTCTCAAGTTCATTGACATAGCTCTTTTGTAGAATTGATGGGAGTTTCCTTCCTAGCCTTTTATTTGAAGTAGTGTAGAATGTCAACATCTTGATTATGTCATTATTTTCTCTTCTCAATCCCAGTAGATGTTATCACTCTTTCCATTATTAATGGAGGTTTCCTTCCTAACCTTTTATTTGAAGTAGTGTGGAATGTCAACATTTTGATTATGTCATTATTTTCTCTTCTCAAGCCCAGTAGCTGTTATCACTCTTTCCAGTATTAATGGGAGTTTCCTTCCTAACCTTTTATTTGAAGTAGTGTGGAATGTCAACATCTTGATTATGTCATAATTTTCTCTTTGAGTTATATGTTCTATCCATTTTAGTTGTTGCTGCAGTTGAAAGCCCTCAAATGATGTGTCTTTTAATAAAGTTCTTTTTTTGTGATTCTGTAGTGCCAGTCCAAGCAATCTGAATGATAGTCCTCTCTAAGACCTACAGGGTTCATTTGCATGAAGCTGTTTTTAATCATTGATCTAAGAAAAACAGTTGAGGATTTAAAAAATACTTTCAGCGTATTCTTCTTCATCAGGTGAGGTAAATATTCATGGCTGCAAATACTTCTTTGCTTCTTCTATGTGCTTCTTCAGGGCCTGTGCTATATATGACTCTCCACAACTTCCTATGTCTCATGGCCCTTAGCAGCATTTCTCCCTTTGCCAAGACTCCCACCCTCCCTATTCCACCATCCTTTCACAGAAGATTGTTAAATATGTGGCCTGCTGCCTTCGCGTATCTCCCATACCCTCGATATGTGAAAGCTAAAATTTCCAAGCCCTACTTCTGCCTTATGGTGATTTTCTAAGCATAGATTAGATGTGGCACAAGGCTGAAAGTGTGGGGCCACCAGTGGGGTCAAACTCACTATTCAGCCATAACTGATTTAGTGAGACGAACTTATTAACTATTACACCATGTTGAAGTGCCAAAATGATTTTCTAAGTGTAGCTTAAGTGGGGCACAAGGCCGAAAGTGTAGGGCACACAGTGAGGATTGAACTCACTATTCAATCATTATTGGTTTGATGAGACAAGCCTATCAACCATTATACCATGTTGAAATGCCCCTCCCTTCCTCATTATGTGTCCATAAAATTTCAGCTGTTTCTTATGACTTAAATAAATATTATCTGGCTTTAAATAACCTTGGCTTAAGGCTTTATCGAATTGAAACACCGGTTCCTATACAATCACTGAAGTTAAGCAACATCGAGCCAGGTCAGTACCCAGATGGATGACCACTGTAAGCTTGGATGTGTGGATGGTGTAATGGATAATGTCTTGGAAATACACTTGGGAAAGTTATGATCCCACCTCTTCTTCCCCCAGCTATGGGTTAATTAGTAAGACTTTTATCATTGAAACATTATAATCTCAAAAAAAAATTTTACAATCTAGAAATATTTTCTGGCTTTAAATAACCTGCAAAGGATTAATAAGCTGGAGAAAACGAATTGATCAATCAAAATGATATATTCCAGGCTTTTATAACCAAACAAAAATAAACCATATGTTTCTTTTCTGTCAAATTTAACATCTAACAGCTGTTCACTTGAGTCAATATTGAAAAAATATAAATTTTCTTTGGGTTTGTTATATTCACTTACATGCAAATACCCTTGAGAAAGGAATGAATTCACTATTCTCCCACAGCTATGGGTTAATTAGTAAGATTTGTCTCAATAAATTATTATTATCCCCCAAAATTTCCTACAATCTCCCATCTAAATTTTCTGGATTTAAATAACCTGCAATGGGTTTATAAGCCAAAATAATAAAAAAATAAACCAAGTTTCTTTTCTCTGTCAACTTTAGCCTCTAATTCTTGTTCACCTGAGTCAATATTAAAAAAGATTTTCAGGCTTTAAATAACCTGCTAAGGGTTGATAAGCCATAGAACATGAAACAATCAATCAAAATGATATATTCCCAGCCAAATATAATATGATATAACCAAACAAACACAAATAAACCATATGTTTCTTTTCTCTGTCAAATTTAGCATTTAATAGTCTGAGTCAGTATTAAAAACAAATTTTCTGGCTTTAAATAACCTGTAAAGGGTTGATAAGCTGTAAAAAATGAATGAATCAATCAAAAGAAATTAAATAACCTGATAGTAGTTGAAAGGCTGTTAAGTAGAAGTAAAATGAAACCAAACCAAAAGGAAAAAGTGAATGAAGATGATATTAGATGAAAACTTTAAATGCTTGAAATATAACACTCAGGTGAAATAAGTTTCATATAAAAAAAAATCATGGAAACTTTCAGGGCTTAAAAGCTATTTTTTCTCCCTTGAAGAAAAGAGTAAATTCTTAAAACCAATGATGGGAAGGGATTGGGAGAAGCTTTTCAGGGAGCAGCGTTTCTTTTAGTCTGAAGATACAAGTACACAAATGCTGTGGTAAGTAAGTTGTGCTTGAAAATGGAAATGACCAGGTAATTCTCTTCCCTGAAACATATTCAGTTTCATTTGAGGCAAAAAAAAAAGGTGTGTGTGTGTGGGGAGGGGAATCTTCTGCAAAATACATTGCCATTCTTTCGAACACTATTACTTCGTCATATATCCCTCCTTCTTGGCAGCAGTATCATCTTACCAAAAGCCCCACAATCACACACACACCTACATGGGGTGGGTTACTGGAGCCCATCTGGTAAAGATATTTATTTTGGGTGTGCGTCTAGGAGTGAGTGTCTAGACCTTTAGCGATTCTATTGCACCCCAACAGCATTTAGTAGTGAACTTACGAGGCCTATGCAATGCAATTGTATATCCATGTCTATGCATACAAAACCCATTTGCCTCAGACAATTTGCGAACAAAGAAGATGGAAGTTATACCGTGGAATGAAAATCTAAGTGAACAAACAAAAGATGACACATGTAAATATTGGATTGGTTGTATCTCATATTATGCTTGGACTAACTATAGCAAAACAGTTGATGAGAAAAATTTATATAGAACATATCCAAGGGCTCTTTTAAGTTAGATTAGGAGTTGCCATAGAAAAAAAATGCATGCACACACACACACACACATATATATATATGTAGCTATTATGTTTAAGCATAAATAATTTCCGTTTCTATCAGATTTATTTCTCCTAAAATAAAGTACAATTACATTTTATTCAGTTGTATATTCACCATTATTTCCAATGACATGTTGCCACACTGGTTATTGCAAGATCACTGAAGTTAAGCAACATCACACTTGGTCAGTACTTAGATGAGTGTCCACTCAGTAATATCAGGGTATAAAGGTTATATATCCACCATTATTTGCAGTGACTTGTTGCCACTTGTCAGGCATCTATTTATTACCTTTGAGTAAAATTCCACAGGTCTTGATGGGAAAAAGTTTTCAATGAACTCTTCAATGTGGTTTTGATTGTAGAAAATTTTCCCCACCAAACCAGAGTAATAAACTGTATTTGCAAGCAATCCATCCATCTCTGCCATTTGAAATAGTTCCAATAACTCTTGAAGTATATTTTAAAATGTGCATACTTTGTTGTATACTTTGTTGTGTCACAAATAATTTCCATTTTTGCTTATCAACTTTATTTGTCAAAAAATAAAGTGCAATTACATTTTATTCCATTAAAAGTCACCATGTTGGGCTAGCTTCTGTGGAGGGCTTTTGATTAAACCTTCATCACAACAGGTAGAAAGGAGTAGAGGCAATAGGCATGAATAAACCACAGAAGAACTCAAAATTGATTGCTGCATTTAAGTATCACATTAACATCTAAGCTTACCTTTTA